CTGCAGCGTCAGCAGGAGTTTCATAGTCTTTGACGTACAGCTTTAAAGCTTATAGGTACATACAGAGACATAGGGAAATGAAATAAATACCAGGTTTTTAATACTTCTTTTGGTGATAGTTAAGATCTTAGGTGGATACAAGATCTGTAAAAAAAAAAAAAAAGAGAGAAGAAATATATATAAACTCCCAATGCAAAAACATGCAGCTAACCGTAGTGCCTTGCCATGCCCAGAGAGGATGTGAAATGAGTTCAGCTACTCTAAGGCCATTGGCCTTAGAAACAAAAATAATCTATTGCTCCCACAGTTCCTCCCACCCTAAATAACCCATCCCAGTAATTCAACCTGCTGGATGTCTACTGCTACCCACAGCTCCCTGCAATAGCCCCTTTAATGGACAGTGGGCTAAGTGTTGGATTTTCATCTGCATAGAGATTTTTTTTTCTTTTCCCCCCAGGAATGAGGAAGAGCAAACACGAATGTACTGTTTTACTTGCAGTGCCTCTAGTTTGAAGAGGATGCTGACTGATTTCCTGTTACAGAAGAGCTCAGCAGTGTCAGTCTGCACTCGGGCACAGATCAGGACCGTCCTCACTCCAGCTGATTCTCAGCCCTATACACGCTGCAGGTTCAGCCCCCACCACTCTCAGTCCTCCCACAAGAGCTGTGCTGACACCTCCGGAAGCCAGCACTCAGACCCTGATCTACAGATCTCAATGGAGTTTAAGTCAAGATACAGCAAGCTTCTTTCATCCATTGTATTGAAGGGACAGGACATTCACGGGCTGCTCAGGCAGCAAGCATGAAAACATAGCGTACATGACAGGCAAGGTGCCGCATGCCCAAACACACCACACGGAGCTACCAGGCACGCCTGGAGCAGCTGCCTGTGAAGTAGCAAGTTGCAGAGCGTGCCATGCACATAACCGTCCCCAGGTCCTTCCATCAAGGTAGGTGGGAAGGATCCCATGGATCAGTGTAACGAGTTTAGACAGCTCATCCTGGACCCTTCAACTATTCTGGTGTGAGGACAGGATCTTGTGAAAGGCCAATGCACTAATGGCAAATAGCACTGCAATAGGAGATGGACCTTCATCTTGTTTGCAGCACCTTGTCCAGTAAGCAAACTTTGCTCTCCCACCATTCTGTGACTACAAAGAACCCTGGGGAACTTCAGGAGCTTTGTGCTGATGAGGACTACCAAAGACTGCTGCACCTAGGCTCTCCTGGGAAAAAGTGGTCTTAGGTCTTACCTCTGGGTTTCTTTCACTATCCCAGTTTTGGGACAGTCTAAAATCCAGAGGCAGGTGGCCTGCTCTCACTCCCTCTCTTGACAGCTGGTTTCTTGGGGACAGCCCAGCAGGTTTCTCAGGGACATTTTGATATTCAAGCAAGGCATTTCATGCAAAGCAGAAACTCAGTGATTTTTGATAGAAGTTTCCTGGTGTAGATTGTTCAGCCAATGCAGTAAAGAAATCTGAGCTTTGTAGCAAGGACAGTGTGTTGCTGAAGGAGCAGTGTCCCCTTCTGGCAGCAGTCACATACTGAATCATGTCCGTGCAGAAGGACTGGGTAGACAAGCAAGGCACCAGGAGGGAAGTATTTCTACAAAGGGACATCCAGGTGAACAGCACTAAAACCAACCTGCCAGATTCTGCTGTCCAAGGGAATTCATACTCCAGCTGTCTTCAATACCTTGTGTCTCATATGTTCAGGCAGCGCACAGCAGTAACTGAACTCTGGGAGTGAAACAATAAATGGACCCTGGGAGTCGACTTCTAGGGGAGGAAACGCACATGGTAGAAGAACGGTAGGCATCATCCTGGTCAAAGCTGTGGCCTATGGCTCACCCAAAAAAGTTGGCACATCCCTCCGATGAAGAACACGGGGTCAGTGAGACCATGGAGCTGTTAACATAATCACGGAAAGCCCCAGCAGTAGAGTCAGAACTGCAGTTCTTACACTGAGCAGCATCTCCATAGCCACCTGTGTTTTGGGGCAAGGAGCAAGAGCCACCACCGTCCAACTTGGAAGGGGACACACAGTTGGCTCAGACTCATATTGTCCATCCCCATCCCAGCACTTAAGCCCTCACTCTTACTTTCGGCTCACATTGCCTGCAAGGTCCAGCATATCTTCCCTCCTGTATCTGAACCCACGTTCGTCTACACTGTCCCTCAGACCCTTCCATGCCCCACCCTGAGCATGTTTTTGTTTCCAAAAAGCCTGTCTCTTTGTCCCTCGCCCCTGTTTTTAACTATGTCCCAGGATACCTTCATGGCAGTTTAAGACTTCTCTCAGCGCTCTACATGCAGCTCTCTTTGCCTCCAGGATACCACCAGGCTGGCCTGGCCTGTAGACCGCTGCCTCCACCACCAGCTGCCAGGCCCCATCCAGCAGACACTGCATTCTCCTAAGCGCTGCCACTGCCTGGTCCAGCTGCTCCCGAGGGCCTGGATGGATCATCACAAGCACCAGCACGTCCGGAAGGCAAGGGAGGAGGTTCCTCACATCCCGCAGGGCCTCATCCAGGTAATCCCACCGCATGAGCTGCTTCAACACAGTGGCTTGCCACAGCATAAAAACCAGATGTGGCCGAATCTCCTCCTCCTCTTCCATCCTCTCCGCCTGCTGTAGTTTAGCCCTGATGTCAGCTGTGCCACACAGGTCCTGGGCAAAATCCACCAGAACTGAGGGAGCTCTCACATTGTCATCATCCACCTCCATCACCAGAACCCGTCCGTTCCGCCTCCCCACTATGTCCAGCAGGTTGAGGAGCTCCCAGGTGGTTCGGTCCACGAAGGAGCAGACAGCAGGCTCCTTTGATGCCATAGTTTCCTCCCACACAAGTCGTTTCACTGCACTGCTGGGGAAAGGAGCGGAAGGGGTTTGCTGTAGCAAAGGCACTTGCATCGCACAGGCCTTGAAACAGGCTACGCCTGCTGCTCTCAGCCACCATGTACAAGTGAACACACTGGTTTTGGTGGGACCAAATGAACATGAAAGGAAATAGGGTTTTGACACAAAGATTCAAAGATTGTAGCCATAGGCTATTTGATGTTGGACCTCCCAGGAACAGGCTTTGTACCTCAGCAGTCTGGCACAGTAGGAAAAGACGAAAGGGGAGAGAAAAGGGACCATTATGTATTTTTGGGCATCCTACCTCAAACTCAAGAGTGCTTAACACCTTCTCATCAGCAGAATCCAACCGCATGACAGGGACCACAGTCCTATCAGCCTGCTGTTACAGTCCAATTTGCCCACTGCATTTCCTCCTCCTTCCTCTGGCAATGCCTAAAACTGGAAATTCAATTTGTATTCCACCCCATCCTTCTTTGAATCCTATGTGTACAACCCATCGGTATTTGCAGAAGACTAAACATCCCATAAGCTGCAGTTTCCCTCCACACATTAAAAAAAAAATGTAGCTTTCCACTGCAAGCGCTCTCCTGCTGTTGGAGACAGCAGTAGCAGCAGGTTTAGTTCTTGAAGCAAGTCCAGCGAAAGAATTTCATTACCAGAGCTGAGTAGCCAGGTCCAGTTTTTGTTCGAATTGCCATTCAAAAGAAAGTCTTAATTTGCCCAATAATGTACTCTGAGTACACGACTACTCCACCTCAAGGAAAGCTCTCATGGGGACGGAGGGACCTGCACTGGAGTGGAACTGCAGGAAGGTTCAGGCAACGACTTACCTGCCTCACCGGCTAGGGGTGCTTTCCAAATGACTGAACTACATGGAATCAGCAGCATCACCCACCCAGGGTATCGACAGGTCATTTGGGGCTGTGACATCAGCAGTAACCATGCCAACCTGCAGCTGCCTGAAACCTCCCTTAAAACTACCCAGTATTCCTGAGGGATGTACTAAGAAACTCCGAGACTTGCACTTTAAGAATCTTTAAATTCATTTTTCACCACCTTCTTGTTCAACAAACCTTAAAGAACTCATGAAAGTGATACACTAGTCTGACGTAAGGACCCTCCCCACGCCACATTACATACTGTGGTAAGGCTGGCCAGGAAACCAGCAAGTATTAACACTCAGGCACTAGAGTTGTGTGATGAAAATGTGTCTAAATAAATTTCATAGAGCAAGTGCTACAGGCCCAGGTACATATGGTCTCATTCTTTGTGATTCTACTAACTGCTATTTCTAGATGTGAGCAAGGACTTACACCTGCTAGGATTTAGTGTCCCATTACACAGTTTTGTCCAGCAGCAGTCATTGCCAAGTACACGAGAAACAGGAATGAGAAGTTTCCCTCTAGTAGGTAGGCAAAGAAGTATTTCTCATGTTCTATATAAAGCTTGTGTGCACAGTTTATGAGGTTGTAAACATTTATTGTTTAGCCCTGCAAACCATTCAGTTCCATGATAGGAGGCACAGACAGGTCGCAGTAAAGGCTGCCAGTTATTTGTCTTTAGAATGTAGTCTGCTCTACAAATGCCTTGCCAAGCACGGGTCGAATCTCTGTTTCATTGTCTAGCTTAGAGTCACTACTCAATCCCTGTGCTGTAAATTCTGATATGCTACTGAAAAAGAACAAAGTCCCTCAAAACAGGTGGAGGGGATAAAAATAGAAATGTACAAAAACTAAACAGATTCTCCATTTTATTTCCAATAAAAATTTAGATCCTAGATGGATACAGCATCTGTAAAAGAAAAAATAGAATCACATTAGAAATCCTGTTACTGGACTGTACTATTTTAAGCACAAGTTTTGCAGTTACAATCTAGATCATCGATCTCTTCAACTACTACAAAAGCAACCCCCCCATTTACACAGAAGAGGTGCAAGAATGAAAATGTGTAGCAACATCACTAGGAAGATACCGCATCAAAACTCTGGGTGATGGATCTAAAGGGACAGTCTCATTGAAGCCTTGTGGCTAGAACAGATCCTAGTGGACAGGTCAGGATAACACAGCCCTCAGTTAAAACATTTGGGAGGCAGGAGAAAAACCTGTCAACAGGTAGGAACAGAAGTAGAAGGGTGCAAAAATACATGTACAAGATCCAGGGAAAAGAAATCAAGATAGGTTTAGAAGGGAGCTGAGGAAGAGTCCAGAACTCAAACAGTCTTTCCAGACAACTTGAGCAAGCACACAAAACCCTTGACAACGAGGCAACCCCCCTCAGCACAAGCAGCCAGCGATAAACCTCTCCCAACTCCAGAAGGAGCACTTATCAAAGAGCCATGCTGAATACACAACAGCAACAGAACAAAACCATAGTTCAAGTTTTCCCTCATACTATGTGGGATTAAAAGGCACTCCAAAAACCGCCGATAAAAATCTTGTTGCTAAAATAAACCCACTTACCACTCGGATTCTGTGTCCAATGGCCTTGGCAGGAAGGTTGGAGCGGAACTTGGCACGAACCATGCCGCTGTTCCCATGGGCACGGGTTACCTTCCCCCAGATCACTCGTGTCCTGTTGGGCTTGCCACCGGGGGTTACAGTGTTGCTGAGGAGAGAGGAAAAGAACCGCTGAGCATGCCAGTCACAGCTCCATACGGGACTGACCAGTGATGGGGTGGACAATGCAGCCTCTTTAAGGCACTTCCACAACTTTACTCCACAGCCATCTTTAGTTGGGCCACATTCCACTTATTAACCTGTGAAATTTGCTAGACCTGGGATTTTCACTGTACCTTCCAAATAAGGCAAGTATTGCAGCTTGTAATTTATCAGAAGCTCCACTGGAGAACTATTAACAAGTCACAAAACTTAAAAATTTGGAAAACGCTAATGCTAAGATGACCGAACCAAAAACTTGTCAACTTCAACTACTGGTATAAGACTGCAAAAGACTATTTTAGAAGAAAAACCATATGCCATCTTGGAAATGATGGTGGTCAAGTTAACAGTCTGATCCATTTTATTCAAGGCAATTCCGAACGCCCATATCTGAACTCTAACAACTACACTCAAAGAAAAACAGTAAGTGGAAGGTAGTAAGTAACTGTTCTTAAGGCCTCCACCAATGCCAGCACAGCAGAAGTGACAGTGCTCTGACACAGACACACAAAAGCCAGGATACAAATTCCTCCAGGCTTCACAAAATAATTCTGCTGTTAAAGTAATTCAATAGCTCATAGTACTCGACACAAATTCACCTCGCTTCAATTTACTCCATCAAGCTGCCTTCAGTTTTGCCAATCTCAGGCAAAATTTGTTTTTGTCATCCCATTTGCTCTCTAACATATAATTTATAACAGTGAATGACTATTTCACATAATTTCATGATCTGAATTAAGAACACATAGGCCAATTAAAGCAAAAATAACTAAGGACTTTAAAAACAAAACCAACCCAGGAAACTGGTCTACACAGTACTCTGTGGACATTCTATTGACAATAACTAAGGACTTTAAAAACAAAACCAAACCAGGAAACTGGTCTACACAGTACTCCGTGGACATTCTATTGATAAATTGAGCCCAATTTATTTTTATTCTAACAAAAGCTCTATAAACAGACTGCTCACATGCTGGCATTTGCAAAAGCTGATACAGGAGTTGGCTAATTTAACATAACAATAAAAAGTGACTTACTTTTTAGCTTTGTATACATAGGCACACCTCTTGCCCAAGTAGAAGTCTGTCTCCTGACGGGCATAAACACCTTCAATTTTCAGAAGGGCAGTGTGCTCCCGCTGGTTTCGGAGGCCACGTTTGTAGCCAGCAAAAATGGCCTTGCACCACAGCCTAAAGGCATTGAAAACATTTACAAATTACAATTCACTCCAAAGTATCAAATGTAAAAACAAGTAACATTTCAGTACAAACTATTTACACACCAGTAGAAATTTAGCTGGGGAAGAAGCCCACTGCTTTTGCTTTTACTTAATTACTGCAAATCCTTACATTCAGTCAACAGAGGAAAGCTAAGTAACGGGGACATGAAGTATTTATGAAAACTTTGTATCTTTTTTCTTGTTATAAACTTCTGACACTACAGGCTTCATACAAAAACCAAAGTGCTTCAACATTAGTAGGCATTATGTTTTCAAATGTCTACAAACACTCCATGATGAGTAAACATTACTTTTTTCTATACACCACATAAACCGAGTCTCCTGTGTTGCAGTAACTGCTATACGAGAAGGTATTAACTGCTGTTAATTTGTAGCCTCAAAGGAATTAACTGCAGTCTATGGGGACAGCCAGGGAGACAGCCCCACATGCACTAGACAAGTGACATTACACAAACTCCTCAACAATTATTCACAACAAAGACCTATCTGTACTACACAGGTAAAGCAATTATAAGGCTCGTTCCACACATCATGTACACATCATGACCGTCTCAACTGCATCCAGCAACTGCCCCATAATACAGCAGTATTAAACTAAGCTACCTTCCACACATGCACAAGAGAAAATAAACTCCACAGATAAATATTAAGACAAAAAGTTGTGATTCAGATTCAATCCCTCCACCACTTACCACCTCAATCCCTATATCCCTAAGAAAACTCCTTTACTGGCATAGTAACTCGTTTACTCAAGGAAACAGTATGTCGAAGCCTCTACTGTACACTGGACGTTCACAAACACTGTGCTAACAAAACCAACATTAATATCCCGCATCTACTGCGAGGCCCGGGAAAGCCTGGCACACCATATGAAGAGCTACAACCAGTTTAAGGCAGAGGCTTCAGAAGAGAGAGATACAACTGTGGACGTTTAACAGAGAGCTCAGCAGGGCACC